TTCGTCCCTGTCCTGCTCTAGGCAAAGACACCATTAGTACTGAAGCACTAAGGTAACCTCAGTGAGCCTATCGAGCTGTATGTACTGCTGGACAGGGAGTGACTTGAAGCGGAGTCGCATGCATAGTGTTCCCCACACCCGATTTACCCAAGCCAGGGAAGGAGAGACTGTGCAGTCGAGTCCAACACACCATCTGCACATAGCCAACGGCCCTCAGAGTTCATCCAAGCCCCCTCGAACTGCAGTCCTTCAACTGCAGGCTCCCCAGCTTAGTGCCAAGTGAAGCAAGGACAAGTCATCCCCAACTTCAACGAAACTTCAAGCTACGCCCTTTATTTATTTTATTGTTAATTAATAATTATCTTGTGCGAACAGAATCCCTGGGTTTTTCTTGTTGTTTTTAAATATATGTATCCTTTAGATTTAGGATATCTCTATTTTCGTACAGCGTGTGAAAACCTTTCGCTAACTTAGCCGGAAACGCACTAATCTCCACTGGTTGGCTGACAATAAAATGGCGTAAACTAGTAAACAAATAAATAATGTAAGCAGGTGTCATAATTTTCATATTATGCCCGCTACACATTGCTGCATCAAAGAAAATACTTGACTTACAAGAAGCGATGGTCGTGACAATATTAACCTCAATATGGATATCTTTCAAGTTCGTCCTTCTTAAGACCAATATCGGTGGATCGGGTCTAATCGAGCAAAGTGTCTTTCACGCACCTTGTGGAGATCTTCGTACTTCACAAACAGAAAATTATCATCGTCCCGCCGGTTCCAGTAGCTGAGCACGTGGTCGAACCAACCTCCGAATGGTACTGCAAATGACAAAAGGGAAACGCAAGGTAACACTTGTATACAGTGATCGCATGACATTATTGCAGAGTTATTGCAGTGGCTGAGGACACAACACACCTGCTATCAGAAGTCCTGGTACTTAGTTTGCCGTGCAAATGCTGACAAATAAACATTTATTGTGATTAAAACGTGGAAAAGGAGAAAAAGTGTACGGCTTAGGAAGAAGACGCCAACTAGGATTCCGGACCGAACTGCAGAACCATAACTACACCACGAACTGAGCCTTGCTTTGTTCCAACATGGAAGTGACTTTCTATCTGGAACTTACTTTTGCTTAGGCAGAATGCCCAGAGTAGTTCACTAAAATTCCCAAATGACGCCAGCTTGTACCAAGACACAAGAACGTCCTTTGGGTTTCGGGCTACGTACACCACCTGCGAAAAAAAGCAGGAAGAAAAAGACATTGCAGGAATGCATTCATGTACCTGAGTCAAACATGAATGTCTTAGACTGGAATGTCCTGTACATCACCTTGGGATGCTTCGTCAAGACTTGAGGCGGCAGAAACCGTTCCAGGCAATGGCTAACCATGAGTCTCGGCGACTTCATGGCAGAGTAAATCTTGTATCCGGGGGTCGCACTTTCGATATCCTTGGGGTCATCTGTCCGTGTGAGCTCCAAACCGGTAGAAATGAAAGTACGATCGAAATCTCCCCTTCCGTCCTGGAGAATATACTTGAGTATTTCACTCACCCAGTGAGTTCCTTTTATGGAACAAAACAAGATGTACACCGGAATGAATGAAGCTTATTAAATGCGTGTAAAAAACATTACGGAAAGCTTTCCCAATGTTTTGAAGAGTTTTTCCAAGTTTGTCTTTCCAATGACATTTCTCTTTGTTCCCTGTTTCCTCGTTCGTTTTGCATCGAGGGCTAAACAACTTGAAAGCTTTCATCAACAGAACGACCAACGAGCTGTCCATATTCTTTACTTGGAGGTCGATGCCAAAAGCCACCAGTAATTGAAAACGTGCACCAAAGGTGACATCCTTGCGACAAAACCGTCATATCTATCTCGAAATAGAAACAAAAGAAGTAAATAGGTGTACAGTACAAAGGATGCATATTCAGTACATAACGTTAGGAGATCAATGCTAGGTACGTGTTTGATTGTTGTAAATAACCTCCGTCTAATTTTTTTCTGTCACTGCAAAAACGGCGGTCTTTCGATTCAATTAAACCATTCAAATGAACTTAGTAATGAACCACCGCATTTCAACGTTAAAAACACCTCTTATACGTACATGTATATGTACAGTATATGAACAATTCACACGGTGTTATGGCACAGCATACGGAGTGATGAGTAGCCAAAAGTTTTGCGCTGCGCTATGAAGATCCGACAGCCCTTACCTGATCGCGGATAGGTGACGACGAACACGTCATCGTCGCGAACCTCAAAAGTCCGCAGGGCCTCGAGATTCGACTTTAACACATGAAACGGAAACTTGACCCCGTCCACGACATGAATGCCCGCCATTTTGTGGATTGCCACCAACTCCTCTTCGAGCTGTTTGTGGGTTTTGCCGTTGATCAATTCAGGCATCATCGACTGGATTTGCTCAGTAAAACTCATGACGGCGGCTTTTTCTCCGCTGTTTGATCAAACGTGTGCGATGGCTGCTGCTGCACGACGGCTTGCAGTCACACAAACGAAATCGTACCGCCACAATGATGGTTCGCGCTCCACCCGTTGGCTCTGGGTATGCAAAGCACAATGTTAACAATGCTTATAATTCCCAACATGAACCTTTCTGGTGACAACATAGTTATGATGCTCTTTGTACGCTGCTTGCGAAGCACAATCACAGAATGAGTGCATGTGACGTAGACATCAGACAGACAGGCAACACCAAGGTGACCTGAACTTATATTATTCCTATACTCGAATGCAAAATCCAGGGATGGGTGTATATGTATAGTATTCAAAAGGCGACCAGTTTTTAAAAGCCATAGGCTGCTTTGTTAGGGGAAAACGTACCGTCACCATAAACAACCATTCGCAGGGCGAATGGCGTGCTTTAGCCGAAAGCGTGGCCACACTCCATTTATCATAGTGAATCAACATGGACCCCAAGAATGACTGGGAACTTATGCAAGAAGAAATTATGCATTCATGACGACATCTTAACAACTCACAAGAACAAGTTCAATGGTCTATGGTGCAACTTTCACTCCAAAAAGTGTTTTGTGCAACTCTCTACTTCTCTAAAGCAGAAATGTATTAGTCTAGGATTTTATGACTTGAATATACATGAAGCTCGTAGATTTATTATCAACCTTTTTTGTAGCAGTAAAAGGGAAAAATTTTAAGTCCAATTATCATATTCATGAGGATATGTATATTAATTCCTGCGTCACTTCCAAACAAGACATTCTGTTCCAACTCAATATTTTGTGTGGGCGATTTTAGCAGTAAACATTCCCAGCAATAAAGGATAAAGTAACGACTATGGCAGATACAAACAAAAATGAACTTAGTCTAAAAGGGTATTTCAGGTCATTTACTCAAATATTATACTTCCTTTGATCACGACGATTTGAAGTCACTGTTAAATACCTTTCAGATGTCACAAGAGGGCGCAACGGACATTGCATATCTGGGTATCAGTCACAGACATAAATAACCACAACAGCGGGCGCCGCGCCGGAGCGTATTTTCACAGACGATGCCATTTTCAAAAATCATGGACAAACTCGACTGTCACAGACGTAAACACTAGCGATTTGTGTACTGAACGAGACTGTCCTGTCAAATTGTCAAAGAGGAACCGCCACAAATAGAGGTAATTTGTGGTATTATTATGTATTTCAATAGGTAAAACCAAACTCAAAGTACGCTGGACTAAATTTGTGAGTTGCGATTAATTTTGAGTAATTTTATTCGGCATTTTTGAGAATCATCTCAGGGCAGTCAGAAAGCAGTGGCATGAGCGTAGGCCAATCGTGCCAATGTTAACTCTGATCTTTCATTTTCCTGTAAGCTGAGCCCTTAGCGACATTAAATTGTAGTAGATACACAAAATTTGTTTCTAAGAAAAATTCATTTCCTGGTTCCTCCGCTGGCTGGACTGAGATGAGGACTCCTGTATCTTCCTGAGAGTTCTGTACCTTCCACAAACATTAATTGCAGGTGTCTTTCACATTAAAGTCTTTAATGTGAAAGAAACCTAGAACCACTGTAAAGTAGTTTGAAATCCAATCAAACGTTATCAGAAGTTGTACACAGTAAAATTTGCAGTGAAAATGATTTATGTGACGCAGGAGTTCTTTTTACAAGTTTATTCGATGAAACAAATGGTTGATGGGCAAGCTACAACAAAGACAGTGAAGTAAAGTAAATAGTACATGTGTGTAATGTTGTAAAATTTAATAATAGTAAATGTCAAATTACCTAGATAGTAAATGGAAACATGCAAAAGTTAAAAAGGGAAACCAATTTCAAGTAATACAAGACTACGTCAAGTTAAACCAAATAAACCCTTAAATCAAGTCCTGTCGAGAATACAGATTCTTAGTCTAGGGAAATAAACTGACAGAGTAAATTAAGTACAGTGAGGAAAAAAGCAGGGTCCTTGGTCAAAGAAAACTTGCTTCCTAATTCACCTGATTAAATATTCGCAACAGTCTAAGCAGAACAGTCAGATTGCTGGTCAGTGTCCTTTTGAACAATAAACAGTGGACCAAAATTCTAATAAAAGTACATATAAATGAGCTAGGGAGTAGGCTTATTACCAGAGGACCATGGTAACAATAGAGCCTGAAAGTAAAAAGGTCACTCAGCGAGCTTCCGGAACCCTCGCGCGGTCCTCTTATGGAGATTTTACATTGGGCCGTCGTATCACGTTCGATAATTTTTGGAAGAATGATAACTGGAACCCCCCCCATGAAACACTCATGTTGGAATTCTACCTTTGACCCAGTCGCACTATGCTGCGACATGCCCTTGACGCGCTACTCCGTAGCACATTTGCAACTTTGTCACCTTCCCGGCCCCAAACCTGTCTCCGAGTCAGTCTTACTTTCAGTCACACATATGACCCCTACATTCGACCCACACAGCCTCCCAATTCATACCGTATGTGTCCCGCCAAACCACACACCGAAAGCCTGTGTCCGGTCACGGCACGGCGAGGTCAGTTACCTCCGCTCACTCACAGTTTTACCCCATAAGAATTGTGTAGATTTCCTGGCCATCCCGAGACCAGCAAACGTTGTACACAACTCGATGCAGGTACCGAGAAAGGCTCACCCTTTCCTTTCTCTCGTTGACCAAGCCCCACGTAGCACACCCACGAGCAGCCTTTCACTATCTCGCTCCCAAACTTTCGCCCTTATTCATCGCTAATCAGCACAGACCAAATCTGCACAAAATCCCCGTAGAATTTTCTTCCGTAGACTTTCTACATATATGAATTATTCATAACCACCCCAGTCCAGTGCTTTCATAGGCCAAGACGAGCCCGAAGTCTATATAAAGCGACCAGCTCTTGCACCTCGAATCGCGGGTTAGCGTAGCAGATCTTTCTTCGCTTTGCGCCAATGAGGCCCGGGTTCAAGTCCCGGCTCGGCCCAGGCTCTAAGTGCATCAGGTTTCCAGTCCTCCTGCCTCTAAAACTAGACCTTCTTCCTAACTCCGTAATGTGATGCTGATTAATAACGGTTATGAATAAAAGCATAGTTATTCGCGCAAATAGCCTGAGTGGTTGAAAGCGCCATTAAAACAAAACAACAACACCTGGAATCTGTCATTCCTGAGCGGGCGGCTTTGGGGCATCAACTCATTGACAGTTCGTGTGGTGTATAGCTCCTCCATGAATAATCAATCATCACTGTCACTCCCGAATAAACAGCTTAGATTAGGGACTAGCTATACTCTGATTATTGTTTGTCAGTCTTTGGAGACTTGAAGATGCTTGTCGATCTGCCGAACACTGAGTGTGAAAGTGGCAAAAGGCCCACCACACAGGCCACACTCATGGACTCAAGACCCTAGCTAGCACGCATGTTCGGTCCCCGTAGACTGTGCATGTATTTAGTTTGTGTATTCGCGCATGCGCAATAGTGACATAATGGTCGTCGGCCTGAAAAATTATTCTAGCAGACGACGCATATCGGTGGTGGCCCATGTGAGGAATTGTCCTGCCATTTCCCTTGAAGACCTCGTGTGTGAATAAATTGCCAAGACACTATCAAATGGTTATATTTAATAGCTTCTGGTAAGAAAAATCGCCGGAAAATAATCAAAGACAGTGGGAAATGTCAAAGCATAATTATGAAAAATTATCGGTTTTTTTTTACCTAGCTTTGTGTCTAATTTTCACAATTTTGCCGAGTTTACCTTCAAATAACATTGATGCCACATGAAAGACTAGTAACTCTTGTGTACAAAAAAGGTTATTACTTCTCGGAAGAAAACCGTATTTTGAAATTCACCTCGTTTTTCATTGGGACCCATTTTCGTCATTTTCCCTTTTTTTTTAAACTTACTTAGTGCTCAATTTTCACACTTGTGTCAAATTTCCCTCAGATCTTCAGTGATACTGTCGGGAAGACCAATAATTCTTTTTGTATATGACAGCTCATTTTTTCAAGATCGAGAGCCATTTGTCTGAAATGCGGTTGGTTTTTCACGTGGGTTCAAATTTCCGCCGCGCTCTGAGTTTGGCAGTGGTCAAAAATGAGATGTCCGGATTTTGGGCATGGTGCACACGTACGCGTAAACACCCTGGATACGAGTGCATTTGGGTACGAGTTGGCCTACTGCATTGCACGAACGCGTACAATCACGTCAAGTTGTCCAACTAAAAAGGCACAAACAAAAACATTCCGTTCTCATTCATACGGTTTCCTTCTTGTATGATACTTTCTCATTAGAGCATTCCATGATATTCCTCACCATTAACAAGTAGAAATGTCAGGGAAAACCTAGCAAAACTGAAAAAATCCCCTCTAAAATGTTGCCTTTACTTCCAACTTCTGACTCTGTTACTTTGGAGGTACGTGACAAAGACGGGTAAAACTTTGGAAAAAAATTTATAGTTTTCAAGTTTCAGCAAAAGGGACTTTGAGTGTTTAAATTCTAATCGGTTGGGAAATGAGTGGCAAACAACTTTATCTGAGCTTGATGTTGATCGATTAGTTTTGGGATCCACCTGCCCGAGTCAAAGAGCTGGCTTCTGGCAGTGTAGTGGGATTCGGTGCGCATGCGCACCAACTAAGCGAGGGGATATGAACATAGTACGTGTCAGTGGAAGGCTGTTGCTAGGGCAACCAGTGGGTCAGCGATCTAAAGCTTAAAGGGGCAGTGCACCGAAAGTGCATGGTCACATTAAAAAAAAATAAACTTGTGAGACTCTTGATTGTGCATAATTATATTTGTGAAGATTTAAGCATTTGAATATAAAGTTTATTCGTGTTTTTATTTTGGCTGATGCTGTCTATAAGGATCCGAGGTCACCATTCCAAATAGAAAAGCTAACCATTTTAAAATTTGTCAAATAAATGATGGCGCTGTTGCCGTGATGCTACTGACGAGTAACCACAAAATTAATAAACTGTCGCAACGAATTCCTTTCCATTTTCTCCCCCATTTTACTGACATTGGGGTGTCAGATCATCGCAAGCAAAAGGAAGAATATGGTAGAGTATTTGCTTTCAGGGTGCACTGGAAAATTGCTTCCTAGATCTCAAAGTCAAACTCTAAGCCGGTCCCTTCCATTCTCAGGGCGTAGACCTTGTCAAAGAGGGCGCTTTGTGCCACCGTGAAGGTGTTCTTCCAGTCACCCACTTGCCCTGTTATAAGAGAAAAGAAGTCTTCTCTGCAGCTTTAATGCTCCTCCTTCAACGATCTCAGTGTTTTTTGAGGACTTTTTCATCCCCAAGTGAGGATACTATATAAAAAGAACACAGCCATTTGAATGCAGAAACAACAAAATGTTTATACAAGAACATGGTCAGGTATCTTTGTTCCCTACGCGTGATCTCACCCTTTCTTAAATATGGTTTGTTCCTCAGGGAGTGAGTCAAGCGTTTCCCTTCCTCGCCCAGATTGTCCTCCAGCTGTTGATAGGTGCTCTGCATCCCGCTAAAGGTCACGCTCTCCACGATGCTGTCAATGATGTCATCGGGCAGATCCTTCCCGACATGCTTGGCGATTTTACATATGGACCCCTTGAGGTCCTGGGAAAAATAATCGGGGTTGAAGCATTTCCTTTTCAATAAGCTTTGAATTTGGTTTTTCCCGTCCTGCACACTTGGCCTAATTCTCTCTTCGTTATGTCATCTCAAATCCTTAGATTATATCTCCAGCGCAAAGTCCCGAGCAAACATCTGTGAAATCAATATCAGCCATTACCAAATGAGAAGATGGTTGTTCGTGGGCCTAAGATGGTTGTTCTTGGGCCCAAGGTTGTTCGTGGGCCTATAGATAGAGTGATTTTTTTTGCAGCGCCACCTGCGACATTAACACTTAAGGATGTTCATACCTATTGACATCAATACGGACTCATACCAGGCCAGACCAAACCATTCTACAAGACAACACGTAGCAATCTCCTTCATCAAACCATCCGCACATAAACATGATAAAGACTGCTACAAGTTCTCATTATTGCCAATAACTTTTGCAGAATGGAATAAATTACCACCGGAAATACGTCACGCACCGAGCATTGCAATTTTCAAGTCGAAACTTCAATCTCTCAATATAGGTGATATCATCAGGGGGGGCTCACTTTATGTAAATATCTGCTCAGTCACTTCGCGCCCGCATATTACATCCCTGATAAGGAGATTATGCACTGTTCCACCAGAACCAGAAGCTAACGCCAACAAGTACGTGCACTCTGTTGAAACATGGAGCTATTGGTTGACTAGATCAAAAGGGCGAATTCCGACGCGTATGTTTCGTGACGTCATTTTTGCTGATGTGTCGACTCCACCAGAGGTATGAATTTGTATTTACCCAACTGCACATGGAGTTTTTAGCTCAGTGTTAGAATGATAACGCCACACTGAACAAATTATGCCATTGATATGCACCACACGGGAAATGAAACGGAATGGCTTTCACAAAGGGTGCGTTCGATTAGCTTACACGTGTAAGTCAAACTTACACCAGAGCGTTCGTTTAGCCATCACGTGATCTTCCTGCCTGCTCTGGTGTCAGCCACCACTATCCCAGCTGGCGAGCGGGTCTGTGGAGGCTGCCCGAGTGTAATGACGTCACGGATGGACTGTTCGTGCATATGGACATGATGGAACGTGGCGGGGACTTGACCTTTTTCCCAGAATGCCTTGGCGAATACACTGCAGCGTTCGATTCGCCTTATTTCGAGGCTTCCCTTGCGTGTAACACTGGTGTATTTAGGGAAGCTAATCGAACACACCCTATATAGAGCATGAACGCTCGAGTTTGACCGTATCAGAGCAAGCGAAGCTTGTTATACCCACCTTGTGAAGATCTTCGTACTTCACGAACAGAAAATTTGCACAGGCACGCTGCCTCCAGTAGCTGAGCACGTGATCAAACCAAGATCCGTAAAAAACTGAAGAAACACAGAAATAATCGAAATACATAAATTGAAAACCAGTACAGTCAGTACATGCACACGTAGCCATGTTTGGCCACAATTTATGCACTAGCACTAGTATCTAGCTTCAAGCAAAACAAACGAACAAACAAACAACCCAACAACCCAACAAACAAAAACAAACAAACAAACAAACAAACACCCCAACAAACAAACAAACACCCCAACACCCCAACAAACAAACAAACAAACAAACAAACAAACAAACAAACAAACAAACAAACAAACAAACAAACAAACACCCCAACAAACAAACAAACAAACAACCCAACCACCCAACAAACAAACACCCCAACAACCCGACAAACAAAAAACAAAAACAATCACATGTGTCAAAACAATGACGAGAATCAAACTTTGGTAAATTCCGATCCAGAGCCCTACACGAATATCTGCCTCGAGCGAAAGCACCCCTTCATCGATTGAAAAGAGCCATAATAGTCAGGGTGTTCGTTTTGTTGGTAGCGATGCGGCCGCAACGCGTGCATTTTCCAGCGGCGTTCGTGAACAAGCGAAGTGCAGTTCCGACCAAAAGAGCCTCCGTTGCTAAGAAAGTTGCACCCTCTCTTGGTCCAGCTCGAGGCCCATGTGTCAAAAAATCAGAAAAGCAAAATGCTCGTCCGAGCTTCAACAAACATTTCAGCTGTGCCAGATGCCGAAAATCCAAAGCGACCAATCGACAAGTCCCATCCGCCACAGACAACGAACTCATTAAGTCACAAACCTTTTCAATGACTTCAAATTCGGCATTTAACAGCAATATTTTCTGCCAAATCTTACATTTGCCCTGGCAGAATGCCCAGACCTTCTCGTCAAAGGTCCACTGTGGCGCCATATCTACATTGTGGAGCCAAGACTTGAGTACGTCCTTTGGATTTCGTGCCACGTATACCACCTATAAAGAAGGCAACGGAGAAGAAGTCATACTTATTCAAATGGTTACGGACTGGGCTTGTCTCAATTTGACGAAAAACATTTGCAAGCAGAGTTTTTTATTTTACTAAGGACAAGAGTCTCTCCCATGGACGACACAGCGGCACAATATCCGAGGACAAATGGAATTGAACAAAGGACTGACCACCAAGGATAGGGTAAAATATTTGTTCCCTTTGATTATCTGTCCTCAGTGGTATATAAGCAAAAGGGATACGGAATAAAAAGGGTATGTTATGTGAGACGGGGGAATGACTTCATGGTATGGCGTACATGTATATAGATTATTGCCCACGGTACCGTACGTGGGCGAGTGTTAGAGTCAATCACAGTTAGAACAGAAATTGAAAACATTTAAGAAGAACCTGCATTTCCCCGCCCACAAAAAATCCCCTTTTGGCCGTTCGCGCCACGGACGTATATAAAAAAAATCTGGACTCGCAATGCCCTTAATCAGCTTATAGAGTCATTGAATCCACTTGCGGCCATTTTACCGAGCCGAATACAAAGCTTTCCTGGCAATGCCCGCCTTTGTTCTTCCTGACGTCAATAGAAGGGAGCCAACCCGCGCATTTGTATTCGGCTCGGTAAAATGGCCGCTGGTTGGCTTCTATTTCATACAAAGGCCTTAAGTCCAGGTTGTTTTTTTTTATATACGTCCGTGGTTCGCGCTCCCAGGCTGATTTGATGACGTCATCCCCAGAACGCCTACAGGTAAAGTCATATGCAGCAAGGTATGAGACAGAGAGAACCCCCCCTGCTTTGTGTTGGTCATTGTCTCGCAGGAGTCTGGGGAATTCCTTTCAGACATCTTGGGGGGATGTGTTAAGTAACAATAGTCTGGAATGTGTATAGGGATTGGACATGTTGGGGGGGTACCCCTCGGTCTCATTTCTTGCTGGGTATATGTAAAGTGTACATGTACATTGCATGATTGCACACTGTACATCCATTATCGCACGCTCGCAATTAATAGACCATGAATGCACGTTGTGTTCGATGTAGCTTGGCCCACAGACAATCACTGTCTCGGTTCAAGGTAGAAGTTAAAAGGCATTGTCCTACCGTGTATTTCTTGAACTGAGACTGGTTATGTATTTATCGTTATTCTGAAATAATTCACGTGAACTAAATATTTTCAATTTCTATTAATCTTTAAGTCTACACTTGTCTTCCCCCAAGCTATTAAAATGAGCAGGAACGCCAGCATTCCTTTGCTATTGTTTTACCCGTCAACAATAATGCGTGTGTATGGAGGGGCTTGTGGGGTACTGAGACGGTACCCGGGAAAGATTTCAC